AGGGGTAGCTGAGCCACTTACCCAAGGGCTTCAGCACTTCCAGAAAACTCTCTTCTCCCTCCTTCATTCTTCGTGGGTTTTCCCCTTTCTACAAAAGTAGTTCTTATGTATTTGACAGCATTCTGCAGATATAGAGGACACAGAAGGGGTACCTGGCTGGCTCAGTCGGTGGGGCATGCAACTCTTGATCTCAGGGCTGTGAGTTTGAGCCCTACATTGGGTGTAGAGATTCCTTAAGAAAATAAAATCTTAAAAAAAAGAAAGAAAAGACAGAAGAAAATGAAGCCACTGTGATGCGATTCTATCACCCAGAGATCACCATTTTCATTTTGCTTTCCTTTCTTTCTTCCTTCTTAATGCATATGTTTTTAAAATCATAAACAGAATCATAATAATGATGGTAATATTTACTGAACAAGTGCTTACTATGTCCTAGGCTATACTAAACACTTCACGTGGAGGGACCCCTGGGTCGCTCAGCGGTTGAGCATCTCCTTCAGATCAGGGCCTGATCCCAGGATCCAGGATCGAGTCCCACATCGGGCTCCCTGCAGGGAGCCTGCTTCTCCCTCTGCCTATGTCTCTGCCTTTCTCTCTGTGTCTCTCATGAATAAATAAATCTTTTTTAAAAAAATAAATAAATAAACACTTCACGTGGATCGTCTCCTTTAATTTTCCCAATAATGCTGAGTGATGATATAATTATTACCCATGCTTATGGAGTAATTGGGGCTTAAAGAAATTAAGTCACTTTGTCCAATGTCATCCAGCAATGAAATGGTGGGGCTGAGATTCCAACCTGGGAGATCTGGTTCTGGAACTGGATTCTTCACACCTTGAAACTGACTAAACTATCCTGCAAACCTCTTTCTGAGTTCTTAGTCTTCTGTCTCATTTGTGAGGACTACATAGTAGTCTATCATTCAAATGTTCCATAATTTCCCCAAGCCCCTATCAGTGGACATTTGCTTGTTTTCAGTGTTTTCTATAATATGTTCTCCACTGAACATCCTTATGGTTAAATATTTGCTCAAAAACTAAAGTTAGAATTTTGAGGTCAAAGCGTATGGATAATTTTAAGGCTTTTGGTACATGTTGCCAAGATTGTTCTCCAAAGTAATGACCAAACTGTACTTTCTATATCTTTATCCACACTGGACTACAAAGTGATTAGAGGCAGCTCAAATTTTGCCACATGAACAATAAAATTGAGATTAATTAGGGGCTCGGGGTAGCTTAACCTTTTCCAGTGGAAATTCCATCTTCCCAGAGCAGAGGAGCTGGAACCAGATGTGGGGTGGGAAGGATTCTAGTGCCAAGAGCTCAAGAGTAACTCCTGTTTTATCAAATCAGCTAAGTAATTCTAAGTCTCTCAGAAAAACCCGATGTCACAGAACAGTCATTGTCCAGGAAGAGAGGAGTGTACCCATGTCCACGAGTCCTTCAGCTGCTGAGTCCTGCTGGCAGCAGCACTGAGCAGGGAGGATAGACACCTGGGGGTCAAGACTCACAGGTTCTTTCCCAGCCCAGGCATTGCTTGTGAGCATGAGCAAGACACGCAGAGCTTCATGTCCTTCATCTCCTAATGCTGGGAGTGCTGATGCCAGGAGTTGCCACCCACCGCAGTCCCCTATGTCCCAGATTAGGACAAGTCCTTGCCACATGGTCCCACACTCCCACCCTTCAAACCTCTTCCTTCAGGGAGGGCCTGATCTCCCTTTAAGGGTTTGCCTGGTTTTAAGGCTTGTCAGATCCACCAGGATAATCTCCTTTTTGATTAGCTCTAAGTCAAGTGCTTAGGGATCCTAATCATGTCTGCATAGTCCTTTCTGTCATATACCACATCCTAATCACAAGGCAAGCCCACCACAGTCACAAATCTTCCCTCATTCAGGAAGAGGGACTATACAACACATGTACATCAAGGGTGGGAATCTGGAGTCCATCTCAGACCTCTGCCTACAACAGCGACTGTGTGGACAAGAGGGGAAATGATGAGTGAAGGAATGAAGGAATACATGAAGTGCTCACCTGTGCAGATGGAAGGGAAGAGAATGGTCTAAACGGACACTAACTTTGGGATACACCCTCGAAGTCTGAGTTGGACAGACCCCAGGCTCACTTCACTCGTCAAGGAGGAGGGACCACGATAGCTACCCCCTCCTCTCCAGAAGGTCAGCTTCTATAGAAGGTGAATGTGGATTTGTTCTCTGCAGTCTAGAGCGGGGATAAGTGCTAATAACCCAGACAGCAATAAAGACAAAAAGCCATATTTTCCTTGCAGAGCAACAGGCTTTGATTCCAAACTCCATTTCCCACTCCCCTTCCCTTCCCTCTCCTTGTGGGTGTCTACACCATCCCCTGGAAGGAGCGTCCCCTCAGAGACCCACTGTGCTTGCTCAGAGAATCCACCTGAAAAAGCAACATACATTCACCCGGTTGTTAGAGACTATCCAGGAAACCACCAGCACCCCACACCGAGCTGGTCCATGAGAAAGGCAGAGCCCTCAGCCCTGTTAACCCTCGGTCTCCTCTTGGTAGCCCGTAAAATCACTCTAATCCACGACCACATTAATCCTGAGTATCACATGGACCAGGAGGGTTGGACAGTAGCTAAGCCATCAGAAAGAACATCCTCAGGGGGAGAGACTAAGACAACCTCCACGATGAGTGGCCTTTCAGCCTGAACTGATGAACCCTGCAAGCAACCAGGGCCTGGTGATGACTCCCCGGTGTGTAACTCCAGATGCTTTCCTCCTCTGGGCCAAGCAGGAGGGCCAGCCCGGCTGCAGCTGGCGCCCACGCCCCTCGCTGGGCCTTCCGCCTGCTGTCACCCTCAGGCACAGGAGCCCCACCTGTTTCCGAGGAGCCCCTCAGCTGACACGTGCACTCATCCGTTCCACAGTGTTTTCCGAAGACCTGACATGCACCAGGTATGAGCCCGTGGTCCCGCAGTGTAAAAAAGAAAAAAAAAATCCTTGTCCTCGAGTACCTTCTATTTGGCGAGGAAGCTCGGCTGGTAACAAGATAACTTAACAAACAAACCGACAAACAAGATAACCAAGTAAATAATATGACTCATGACACGGCGGTAAAGTGCTCCGGGAACAGAACCAACGCTGGGAAGGGGGAGGGGGAAGGCCCCTGGGAGGCCCAGGAGGAAGGAAGCAGTTTGAATTAGGGTAGACCGGAAGGCCCCTGACGAGGTGATAGGCAGTGAGTCCGCTGGATATTCGAGTAGCTTGAGTCGCTGCAGGTGCAAAAGCCCGAGGCAGCAGCGTGGCCGCCTGGTTGCTCCACAGGGAGGGGACCGGACGCAGACGGGGCGGGGGGCCTATTCCGCTCCCGGCGCTGTCCCTGCGGCCCGAGGAGCCGCGGGTGTGAACTCGGTAAGGGGCACGGGCTAGAGGAGGCGGGGGCGGGAGGGCCCCGGGGCCTGGGCCCCGAGAGTTTGCGAGTCGTGCTCGGCGCGGTCTGCCGGGACAGGCTTCGCCCCCCGAAGAGCGTTCAGGCCCTGGGCAGCCTCACCTAGGACCTGCCGCAGACCTGCGCCGAGGTCGGGGGAGTCGCTCGGTGAATTCGTGCCTAGAGTCCGGACGGGGTCGGGAGGTGGCAGGGAGGGGAGCGGGGTCGTGGCTTGGCGGGATAGTCCGAGCAGGGGACTCAAAGCTGAGCCACGTCTGTTGACTCCAAGCTGTGTTTTTCCCATCTCTCTCCTCGCCCCCCAAGAAGGGGAGAAAAGTGTCGGTACAAGTTTGGGGCTAAAATGTGGTGGAGAAGAAAAATAATGCCCCGAAACCACAAAGCTGCTTAGTTCGAAAGTGTTCCTAGAACTCGGCTCTCCTAACTCTTGGGTAGTCTTTCTTGACATTATGCTGGTATCTGTGGACTTTGTGTCTGCGCTGCTGGGATGTCTCCGCCTGGTCCAAGCGCAGCCCGCTCTTGGGCCCTTGACTGCACGGCCCGGAAACGCTGATTTGCGTTTCCTCGCTCGTCGGATCACAGTTGTCCCTTCCTCACACCTCACAGGCCTAGTACATCACAGGCAGACACAAATACTCACGGAAATTGATTCGGTACCTTAAATGAAAGAAGCGACTTATTTCTTAGTTTCGTTTCTCTTCTTTTCTTTCTTTTTTAATGGGCCAAGCGCTCAGATTGTATGCAGTCTAGTTTCCTAAGAAAAGTCACTAATCCAGTGGTTCTCAGTTTATGGGCCATGAATTTCTGGGACCCTCAGAAAAATGTTTGTAAGGGTTTCTGCAAATCCATGTGGTCCCCAGGCAACACCCATAACCAACCGTATGTCACACAGCTAGATGTTAACTGATAAAATTTTAAGATGTATATAAAGGATTGTTATAATTTAAAAGTTTCACAGAATAAACAGGTACTAAAAGCAACGCATGCCGTCACGTTGGAGGATTATTAAAATGCTTTAGTTTTTTGAACTTAAGTATCTCAAAGATAGTTTATGTTTGGGAACCACTTCTTTAGTCCAGTTGAAATCTTGGGCTGAGCTGCCCAGCATGGAAACTCCTAGTCACATATGACTATTTAAATTTAGAATGGAGTTAAGATTAAGTACAATTTCAGTGTCTGTTTCTCAGTTTCCCTGGGTACATTTTAAGTTCTCAGAAGCCACATGTGGTTAGTGGCCACCGTGTTGAAAAGTTTATGTAAAGAGTATTTCTATCATTGCAGAAATAGTGCTGATATAGACACTTAAAATGAATAAAAAGTGACTTAAGCAGAAGTAACTAACAAATCTGCTGTAGAGCATAACAGAGAAACGAAACTAGGGACAGTAGGAAGCAGTTTCTATCCTTGTCGCAGGAATACATATCTCTTAATAGAGAAATAAGAAAAGTACTGGTTTTTCTTGGGTGTTTTCTAGATTGTAAAATGCTTCCCCCTCTCTCCCCACTTCACTCCCCCCTCCCCCACCCTTGCCTCATCGATGTAGGTTAGAGTTACTTGTAAGTTGGTAAAAAGTCACTATGGAGACTAAGGACCAGAAGAAACACAGAAAGAAACACAGTGGGCCCAAAGCTGAGAAGAAAAAGAAACGGCATCTGCAGGATCTCCAACTTGGAGATGAGGAAGATGCCCAGAAGAGAAACCCCAAAGCTTTTGCAGTCCAGTCTGCTGTGCGGATGGCTCGATCCTTTCACAGGTATGTTTATCAGGAGTCTAGGTGTTCCTCCATTTACTTTTTTTAAGCAGTAGGAGCCTGCCTAGTTGATGTTTGGACTCATGAGTCTGACAGCTTGGAAGGACTTGAAGATGCATGCCGTACTCCTTTTACTAAAATGTGAGCAGGACACGTGGGTGGCTCAGTTTGTTAAGCGTTCAACTCTTGATCTCCGCTCAGGTCTTGATCTCAGGGCTGTGAGTTCAAGCCCCACATTGGGCCCCACACTGTGTGTGAGGTCTACTAGACAGAGAGAGACAGAAAGAAAGAAAGATTGTAAACTTTAAACAGTTTCTATGGTAATAGGTGTGCTTGTGTCTTTTTTCTCGATATGTTTTACATAATAATGTAATAAATAGCTTTATTTAATAAGTTTTTGTTATATGTACTTTAAACATTATTGAATTAAACTCTAATAGCCAAATTTAATTCCAAAGATTCTGCTTTTATTCATTATGATACACTGCCTGCATGTTTATCTTTTCTTTTTTAAACTATTATAATAGTTTAGTCAACTAATAGTTTAAACTAAACTAATAGTTTAGTTAACTATTATAATAGTTAATGAAGCAATCAGATTTAAGGTGTGTGTAGTTTTAAAATTCTCTGTACTGTTGAAGTAAACCTGTTATATGTTTACCGAAGGGGTTATTTGGATTAGGTCTAGAAGTTAACAAGTTAAAGACCACTTTACTTACAAGGATGATGCCTTTTGTATTTTAAAAATTGATATACTTTTTCTTTCTTTTTACAAATAGGACTCAGGATTTGAAGACAAAAAAGCATCACATTCCAGTGGTTGCTCGAACTCCATTAGAGCCCCCACCAATAGTGGTGGTGGTGATGGAACCTCCAAAAGTTGGAAAGAGCACTTTGATCCAGTGCCTCATTCGGAACTTCACCAGGCAGAAACTGACGGAGATCAGAGGCCCTGTAGCAATCGTGTCAGGTAGGAGTCTACTCCCTCAGGCTGATAGGGCATGTGTCGTCTGAGGGACAGGCATATCTTTGTCGAACATTTTCTTGACTGGTAAATATTGAAGTAATGTTCTCACTTTATTACCTTTCCTGTACTTGTACTAAGTTGGCTATAGTTTAAGAAAAGGATAGATTCCAGATACAACAATGATGTAGATGTGCACCTTATTTGGACTGCTATATGGATTTGCCAGGTGTGTTCCTCTGAAAGGTTTGGCAGGCCTGGGCAACCTGGGTTGGTCATAGTGATCACCTTTCTTTAACAGGTAGTGAGTATCTGCTGTGTGTCAGGCATACCTACTTGCCCTCATAAGGCCATATCGTTAGGGAAATGAGGGGGTTTTCCTCTTTTTCTGTGAGAATTTGCCTGTTCTGGGAGATGGTGACCTTTCTGTTTGAGGGAAGATGAAAAAAAATCCCAAAATGGTAATGGAAGAATCTGAAATTTTTTTCCCTTTTTTTAAAGGTTTTTATTATTAAGTAATTTCTCTACCCAACGTGGAGTTTGAACTCACAACCCCAAGATCAAGAGTCACATGCTCTACTTTCTGAGCCCTGGAATTTATTATAGCAATGCTATAGTTGGATTGAGGCTTTTCTTTTTCTTTTTTCCTTTTCTTTCTTTCTTTCTTTTTCTTTCTTTCTTTCTTTCTTTCTTTTTCTTTTTCTTTTTCTTCTTCTTCTTCTTCTTCTTCTTCTTCTTCTTCTTCTTCAAGATTATTTATCTTAGAGTGTGAGCAGCATTCAAGAGCAAGTGGAGCAGGGGCAGAGGGAGAGAATCCTTCAAGCAGGTTCCCTGCTGAGTGCAGAGCCTGATACAGGGCTCAATCCCAGGACTCCAAGATCATGACCTGAGCCAAAACCAAGAGCTGAACACTTAACCAACTGAGCTACCCAGGCACCCCAAAGCTTTTCTTGATCTTAAAGGCATTACTGTTATTTTTAGACTTTTTAATTTTTTTAAGTGAACTCTATCCCCAGTGTGGGGCTTGAACTCCTGACTTGGGGATCAAAGAGTCACATGCTCCACTGGCTGAGATAGGGAGGTGCCCCACTTTTATTTATTTAAAGTAAACTCTATTCCCATTGTGGAGTTTGAACTCACAACTCTGATCAAGAGTCGTAGACTGATTACTTTTTTTTAATTTTTTATTTATGATAGTCACAGAGAGAGAGAGAGAGAGGCAGAGACACAGGCAGAGGGAGAAGCAGGCTCCATGCACTGGGAGCCCAACGTGGGACTCGATCCCGGGTCTCCAGGATCACGCCCTGGGCCAAAGGCAGGCGCCGAACCGCTGCGCCACCAAGGGATCCCCAGACTGATTACTTTTAAGGTAATTTTGAAATAACAATTGTTCCATAGAGATTTCTCTTACGTTCGGTTTGAGGATGTTTTTAGCTCTAGTAAGAACATGCAAAACTTTGATAAGGATAGAAGTGCTGGCCTGCTGCACTTACCAGCAGGATCACAGTCACCACGGAGCTTGCTTGTCTGCCCATTCCAGTCAGAATTGTACCTGCTTGAGCACTTTATTCATGTGGATAGACTTTTGATACTATTTTAAAATTAGGGAACATAGCAAGAAAACCAAGATGGTATTTATCAGTTTGCTCCTATAAAAATGAACTCCTGGCATATTCCTGTAAGTGTATATTGTGCTTTACTGGATACAACTTAAAATGGTAATTAGAGTAAATGGATATATTTTTTCAAGTTTTTTATTTTTGTTTATTTTTATTTTATTTTATTTTTTATTTTTTTTAATTTTTATTTTTTATTTATGATAGCCACAGAGAGAGAGAGAGAGAGAGAGACAGACAGACAGAGACACAGGCAGAGGGAGAAGCAGGCTCCATGCAGGGAGCCCAACGTGGGACTTGATCCCGGGTCTCCAGGATCAGGCCCTGGGCTGAAGGCGGCGCTAAACCTCTGAGCCACCCGGGCTGCCCTATTTTTTTAAGATTTTTCAAAAGTCTTATTTCGGGGGGTCCTTGGGCAGCTCAGTCAGTTAAGCGTCTGACTCGATTTAGGCTCAGGTCATGATCTCAGAGTTATGAGACTGGGCCCTGTTTGAGGTTCCACATTCAATGCAGTCTGCCTGAGATTCTATCTTTCCCTCTCCCTCCGCTCTTCCCCTTGCTAGTGTGCATGCTTTCTCTTTCAAATAAATAAGTAAAATATTTAAAGAAAAAAACTAAAATCTTATCTCTTTACTTACAGGTAAAAAGCGCAGACTCACCATTACTGAATGTGGGTGTGACATTAACATGATGATTGATCTGGCTAAAGTGGCAGATTTGGTAAGTCAGTGGGAGCAGTGTGAATTTCTAATGAGGACTTAGCAGTGTGGTAGATTATCCCATTTGAAGGAAAGAAAGACTTATGATTATTAAAGGGATGATGAATATAATCAGGGATACTATAGATGTGTTTGAATTGATGATGAGGTTGATGGTGATATTGTTATAATAAAAATGGAACGTGCACAATGGAATGTAGTCTCAACTCTGAAAGTAGAGAAAAATCCTTTAACAAATGTAGTTAATTAATACAGATAGACATATGTACATAAAAACATATAATAGTAGGACCATTTCTTGGACCCTTACAAGGTACTGCGCTAACACCTTTCTCGAAATTTCGCTCATTAAATCCCCCAATATGCTTTGGAGGTAAGTAGGTATTATTATCTCCAGTTTACATAGGATGAAATTGAGGCCCTAGAAGTTAAGTGGTTTGTCTAAGGAAGGGAACTTTGCTCTTGGTGGTGCCAGAACCTCCAGTTCTTAATGATTGTGACAAAGTAAGTACATGAGTTGCCTTTGAGAAGTTGTCAGTGTTTATAATAGAAAATCTAGACAGCACATAGCATATGGAAATTGTGCAACTTTGATTGCATTGAATAGTAGTGTTTATTAATTACATTTTAAATTAACAAAACTAAATCTAAGAAAAAAGCCATATTGATTAGGAAGAGTGTGGTAACAGAGGTGGTTTGTTTGTTTTTTGGTTCAACAATTTCTAAAAAACTGTTTGGTGACAAAGAGCTACAGATTTTGTCCTTTGGCCCAGGAAGTCTCCTAAGATACAAATTAAAAAGTAATTTAATGTAGATGTTATAGCTATGCCATTCTAATATCAGAAAACTCAATGACATTCAAATTTTGAACATATAATGCTGCTATTAATAGAAGTAAGTGTCAATTGTCAACATAAAATAGTATAAACTTATTAAATCTTGTGTGTGTGTTTTTTTAATTTTTATTTATTTATGATAGTCACAGAGAGAGAGAGAGAGAGGCAGAGACATAGGCAGAGGGAGAAGCAGGCTCCATGCACTGGGAGCCCGACGTGGGATTCGATCCCGGGTCTCCAGGATCACGCCCTGGGCCAAAGGCAGGCACTAAACCGCTGCGCCACCCAGGGATCCCATAAATCTTGTGTTTTTGAAATGATTAAAATAGTTTACGGAGTCCCTAATTTTAAAAGCATAGACGTGTTAAGAAAGATGTCTTTCATATACATCTTTTTAAGACTTAAAAAGGAAACCGTGCATTTGGTAAAATATTCAAACTATATTACAGAGTACAGTGCTTTTTTTCTCTTCCCTACTCTGACCCCTAATCTCTTAGTTTCCATCAAAGCAGTATCCTAGATATGTATACGAATACACATTCCACCCTCATAAAGCACATACTGTTTATTATACATACTATTCTGTACTTTGCTTTTTTTCACTCAATGTCTTAAATGTATATAAGTAGTATAGTTCAACCTCATACTTTCTTAAGTATTCTGTTGCATGTACCATAATTTATTTAACCTGTTTTATGTTGATTGCTCTGGGTTGTCATAAAGCCTCCTGAGTCATAGCAAAGGTGTGTACAGTACATGGATTTGTGTGTGTATGTATGTGCATAGAAGGAATAATATATAGGCTTCGTTTGTCTTCAATTGACAAGGTTGTCATCTAAGGGCCTGTTGCCACCTGCACCATTTCTATAACGAATTGCTTGCCCCTTGGCACTTTATGGTGTCAAATGGACCAGGCTCCATGCAGCGAGCCCGAAGTGGGACTCGATCCTGGGACTCCAGAATCACACCCTGGGCCGAAGGCAGGCACCAAACCACTGAGCCATCCAGGGATCTCTGAAGTGGAAATTTATATTGTGGTGGATATTGTCTCATGCTTGCCTTTTAGAGAAAGTCAAAGGGTGGTATTTTCTCTTATCAAAATGATCCCTAATCATTTCATTTAGTCCAGAGTAGGAGTTGGGAAACTTTCTGTAAAGGGCCAGATGGTAAATATCTTTAGCTTTGGGGTCATGGTTTCTCTTGCAAATGCTTAACTTTGTAGTTATAGTGCAAACACAGTTGTAGACAATACATAAATAATATGGGCAGCCCCGGTGTCTCAGCGGTTTAGTGCCGCCTTTGGCCCGGGGTGTGATCCTGGAGACCAGGATCGAGTCCCACGTCAGGCTCCCTGCATGGAGCCTGCTTCTTCCTCTGCCTGTGTCTCTACCTCTCTCTCTGTGTGTGTGTGTGTGTCTGTCATGAATAAATAAATAAAATCTAAAAAAAACCATAAATAATATGGCTGTGTTCCAGTGAAATTTTAGTTACAGAACAGGTTATGGGTCAGATTTGGCCCATAGTCCATAGTTTGCTTATGGTGTTTTGAGTAGCTTCCTTGAGTAATTCTGTTTTCTGTTTTAGGTTCTGATGCTTATAGATGCCAGCTTTGGGTTTGAAATGGAAACATTTGAGTTTCTAAACATCTGTCAAGTACATGGCTTTCCCAAAATTATGGGCATTCTCACTCACTTAGATTCCTTCAAGTATAATAAGCAACTGAAGAAGACAAAGAATCGATTAAAACACAGGTTCTGGACAGAAGTCTACCTGGTAGGAAGAGAATTAATTTTTGAATACTAACACTATAATCTTTCAAAAAAATAAGATAAGTAGGATAGATTTATAAACATCGCTTCAGGATTCACCTATGGCATATATCTGTTCATAGTCCCTGCAATATTTCCTCAAAATAGTCTGTATTTCAGAACTCTTGGTGTGTCTCATTTGTCTTTGTAGCTCCCTAGCACCTGGCTCTAAGTGTTTTAGATTTGTGATCGTTTAATAGTTTATCCAAAGTTTCTCCTAGTTGCAGGACTAGGAACTATAGTGCACACATACTGCCACTCCACCCTCCCCTGCATGCTGCTGTGGCCCATTGGTCATATAATTTTTTCTGTGCCCAGAAGCTTCACTGCTCTCTCTGTGTAATACTCCAGATAGATGCCATCACTTGACTGGAGACCAGTCTTGAAGCTAAGTGTTTTGGCAGTTCTGCCTTTCTTAAGTCCTAACAACATGAGTACTGAAAGAAGGCAGAGAAGTTTGGGAAGCATTAATAATAAGTGGCTTGCTAGAAGTCTGCCTTAGGATTGCTTCTTATTTAGAGGTCTTTATTTGATGTAGTATGACAAGAATTTAATTGAAATTTAATTTTTTGTTTTCTTAATGTTTAGGGTGCCAAGCTGTTCTACCTTTCTGGAACGGTACATGGAGAATATCAAAACCAAGAAATTCACAATCTGGGCCGTTTTATTACAGTAATGAAATTTAGGCCTCTTACGTGGCAAACCTCTCATCCTTATATCCTAGCAGACAGGTAAAAAGTGCATGTAAAGTTTTTCTTCCTGGCCCATGTATTTCAAAGCTGCAAAGGTTAGAAAAAGAACAAGAAGAGAGCTTATTTTGTACTTCTTTTTGAATACTGAGGAACAAATGTAGTTGGAAATACCTACTTTTTGTATCATTACCTAAAGATGCACTGGCTTCAGGAGTAAAGTATGAAATGTTTAGAAATATGTGAGCTTTTTGAAGCATTTAAGGCTACCTAATATGGTCTTATCCTGCTTTTTCATCTTAATCTTCAGTGATCATGTCTTTAGACCATGGTGCTCCAGTCACCCAGACATACCCTGGGCTTTCTTTCCTTTATATTTTTTTTCATACTGTTTTCTCAGCCTGTAATCCCTTTCTCTACTTGCCAGAATCCAAGGCACACCAAAAACCCAGATCAAAGCTTAATCCTCTCCCATAAAGGGTTTTTATGGGTGTGTTTTCATCTCTTCCTTAACCCCAGGTGCATGTTATTTTCCCTTTTTGGTGTCTTACAGCATGTATATTACATAGAGCCTAAGAGCAGTGCAATCCTGTGTTTGCTTCTTTTCTTTTGGTAGATGGTGACTGTGCTTCCTTCCTTCTGAATTTCCTAGAAGTTTCTGAACACTGTGTTTAGTGAACTAGTGAATTTGACCAGTCTTTGACACATGAAGGGAGATGCAAAAATTTTGACATTTATTTCTGCCATATGATTGGGTTTTATTTTTCTAGGATGGAAGATTTGACAAACCCGAAGATATTCGAACAAATATCAAATGTGACCGAAAGGTGTCTCTTTATGGTTATTTAAGAGGAGCACACTTGAAAAATAAAAGCCAAATTCACATGCCAGGTATCCTTTTGTTGTAAAATGTACCAAATTTGTAGAACTTGTGGGATGACTTACTTCATTTGTCAGGAACACTGAAAAATGGCCAAACAAGATAGAGCAACATTGCTAGAAGTTTGAAGACTCCGCTCTGACTCAGCTGGCAAAGTTGAGTTGACCAAATCTCCTCTGTTCTGATGATGTTGGTTAGTTAGAGAGGCACAGTGCCAGTAACCAACAGCACGCTTGTGGTTGAAGCCTTCCACCTGGGGGCTACTTTTGTTGATGGTTGATAAACTTGTATCTGAAGCTATCTTCCTCTGTCTTCCAGGTGGAGGAGAGTTTGCTGTGAGCGATGTCAGTTTCCTCCCGGACCCCTGTGCACTTCCGGAACGACCAAAGAAGCGCTGCTTAAATGAGAAGGAGAAGTTGGTTTGCGCACCTCTGTCTGGAGTGGGTGGTGTGCTCTGTGACAAAGATGCTGTCTATGTTGGTCTTGGTGGCAGCCGTGGCTTCCAGGAATTGGTGAGAGGAAAGTCATAGGAAGTAATGTACTGTAACGTACTTCAGCTTTTATATACTGAACCTTTGTATTTGTATTTGGTAAGAGCTACAATGTACATTGTAAATGTCCAAAATACTTAAGTGCACCAGGCAGAAAGTAAAAGTCATGTTCTCCATTCTGTTGCCAAGACACACGGGATCCTGGTCTTTTAGTGGGAGCATTGCAGGCAGTTTGGTGCTTGTACTTTCCGTCTCTCTTTACACAAGAATACCTCATTTTATTGTGCTTCGCTTTATTGCATTTCACCAATATTGCCTTTTTTACACATTGAAGGTTTGGGGCAGCCTTGTATCAAATAAGTCTGCTGGTGCCTTTTTTTCAAAGGCATTTGCTCACTTTGTGTTTCTCTGTCACATAATGTTAATTCTAACAATATTTCAAATGTTTTCATTATTATTATATTTGTTATAGTATCTGTCCTAAGTGATGAGCTCTCACTGCAACCTCAAATAATGATTGGATTTTTTAAGATTAAAATATTTTTTAATTAAGGTATGTACATTTTTTATTTTTATTTTTTTATTGGAGTTCAATTTGCCAGCATATAGCATAACACCCAGTGCTCATCCCACCAAGTGCCCCCCTCAATGCCCATCACCCAGTCACCCCAACCCCCTGCCCACCTCCCCTTCCACTACCCCTTGTTCATTTCCCAGAGTTAGGTGTCTCTCATGTTTCATCACCCTCACTGATATTTTCACTCATTTTCTCTGGTATGTACATTTTTAGACATAATGCTATTGTACACTTAATAGATTACAGTATAGTATAAACATAATTTTATATGTACTGGGAAACGAAAAAATTCATTTGACTTGTTTTATTGTGGTGGTTTAGAACCAAACTCACAATATCTCTAAGGTATGCCTAGATAATATCAGTGTGTTTTCTAGCTTTCTTTGGTCTATTTCTTTTTTTTCTGTAAATATTTACATATTAATCTATTTATTACATATTTAGATTATTGAAATATTATATGTAAATACCATGTATTTGTATCCATATATATGGTCTTTGTGTGTCTGTGAGAGAGAGAGAGAAGTAATATTTCTTTATTTTATTTTTAAAATTTTTTAAGTAGGCTTCCCACCTGAGCCCAAAACAGAGCTTGAACTCACAACTCTGAGGTCAAGACCTGAGCTGAGATCAAGAGTTCGGTGCTTAACTGACTGAACCACCCAAATACCCCATAATATTTTTATATGGGCTCCAACTTTAAATGCTCTTGCAACTTTTGAGGGGCACCTAAGAATATGTGATCCCATTGCTCCCTATTAGTATTGATAGAGCTGCTTTGGTCTTTGTTATAGCTCCGTGGTATTTCATTGTCTGGATAAACCTTATTTGTTGAACCAACCCAACCCTTGGAAATCTGGACGGGGGGAGTTTACCCCTACTTCCCTTTGTTTTAATTTTTTTAGTAACCCATATGCCCAAACATGGTGCTTGAACTTACGATGCTCAGATCAAGAGTCCTACATTCCAGGATGCCTGGGTGGCTCAGTGGTTGATCCCACTGCCTTCAGCTCAGTTCGTGATCCCAGGATCCCAATTCAAGCCTCGCATCCAGCTCCTTGCATGGAGCCTGCTTTTCCCTCTGCTTGTGTCTCTGCCTCTCTCTCTGTCTCTCATGAATAAATAAATAAAATCTTAAAAAAAAGAGTCCCACGTTCCACTGACTGAGCCAGCCAGGGGCCCTTAGGCCAGAATTTGTAGGTGCATGTATATGTGTGTACGTGTACGCAATTGCCTATATGTGTGTCAGAGTTGTCATTCAGAAGGTGATTACACACACACACACACACACACACACACAAAGAAGGTGATTCTACTTCTAGTTTTGAAAACAAGGACTCAGGCAAATCTTCATTGCAACACTATGAACAATAAGCAAAAGATGGAAATACCTGGAGTGTCCATCAACAAATGAATGGATAACTAGAATGTGCTACATACATACAATGGAACATTATAAATGGATAAAACATAAAAAGGGATGAAGTTCTGATACATGCTATAACATGGATGAATCTTGAAAACATTATACAAGGTAAAATAAACCAAACTCAAATGGACAAACATTGAATATTTTTGACTTATATGCAATATCTAGAGCAGGTAAATTCACTAAGAAAGCAGATTTGAGGTTACCAGGATGTAGAAAGAGGGAATGCTGAGCTATTGCTTAATAGATATGAAGCTCCTTTTTGGGTCATAAAAACATTTTGGAAACACATAGGGGTGATGGTTGTACAACATTGTGAATGTAATCAATGCTACTGAACCATACACTTAGCAATGATTAGAATTGCCCAAAGTGAACACAAATCAAACCAAAACCAAAGAGGCTTGTGAATCAGCAATAGGCTAGTTTTCTTATTTCTGGCTGGAACAGAGGGACACAGTTGTTTTTAAAGATTTATTTATTTATTCATGAGAGATATAGAAAGAGAGACAGAGACAAAGGCAGAGGGAGCAGGGAACCCAGTGCAAGACTTGATCCTGGATCCTAGGATCACACCCTGAGCTGAAGGCAGACATTCAACCATTGAGTCACCCAGGTGTCCCTCAGAGGGACATAATATATAAAGGAAACTAATACAGCTTTGCATAATCATGAGAAGTGCAAGCAGCAATATCATTTGTGCAGTTGGGAAATTTTTTTCTCTTCTATTGTTTGGATTTAGAGATATCACCACCTCTAAAAATTAATATTTATCTTTTAGTATGATGTGTGTATGTGTGCATAATTCTCTGGATAATTGGATGAAAATAGGGTAAAGGCCCAACCCATATCTGAGGAGACAACTTAACTTAAAGGGATCAGATTGTCCATGGCCATGCCTCACTGTAGTCTCTGCAGAGGAATTTGTG